TAGCTTGCACCTAATAGACAGAATCTCGCCAGACTAAACCTGTCTAAAGCAACTAGTGGATATACCCCGTGAGACTCTAGGGAGGGGCCAACCTCATCTTTGTCTTCCCACACTCTTGTTGTGGGCTGAGGAGGTGCTTGCTCTGGAATGCCTCTCTCCTCTCCTGACAACCCTGAACTTCCATTCCAGAATCTTCCCCGCTCATGCCATCCATTACAAGAGGTCCATAAATAGTATGGTCATATTTTGAGCTAAATCTTTTTGTCTGATTTCACGATGGGATTGCCCTTTTCTTCTCTTCTTTCCCAGTCTGATGAGCAATGAAATCCAGATATCAGGCCAGTAAAAAGTCAATGGAGACTCAGCTGGATTTGTAATGTAATTTGAAACAGGCTGTATATACAGACAGCCAGGAAATGAAGTCACAATTAGTGGTAGGAATGTGATGCTAGAAGGAAGTATGCTAAGATAGGTCATGTTATATGTTGTAGTATAGCAGCTTGCTATGGGTTGATGCTACTTGTTCACACAGGTAACCAAGTTATGATTTGCATGGATTAAACATTAAAGCATGTTTCATAAGACTGGGGAAAACATATCCTGATTATTTAAACATAAGGGGCAATAAGAACTACTATTTTTATTTTAATGGTACAATCGTTTCTATTTTTGTCTGAGATGTGTGTGTCTTTTTTATATTGTTAGGTGCTCAAAGGTCATGATGATCATGTGATCACATGTCTACAGTTCTGTGGTAACCGAATAGTCAGTGGTTCTGATGATAATACGTTAAAGGTTTGGTCAGCAGTTACAGGAAAGGTAAACCAAATATGTTTACTGTATTCTAATAAAGTTCATCCCAAATATGTTCCTTGCTTTGTAAGATGTGCTCTCTGAAGCTTAGTCTGGTATTGGTAGTGCATAGTTCTATTTCATCCAACACTTTTCTAGTCACTTCAAATCCCATTTTAAACTAGAGGTCCCTGTTATATGAAATGTGGTAATTTGCTTTATAACAGAGCAGGCCATCATGCAAGATGGAGAAGAAGAGTGAATCCAAGGCTGATTCTAAGGTTCATAACCCATAATTTATCATGCATCTTTGAGTTCAAGAACTGCTAACTACTTCTTGAACAGTGTTACTTCATCACTGCAATGTTGATGGGGAAATCAACATCATGTTACCATATGCTCCATTCTTTTATATGAATCCAGTATTATCATTGGCAGCATATTAGCAGTTCTTGTATTCCCACATGGCTGTTATCTTGTTACCCCACTCTAAATAGTTTTAACATAATCGTAGTCCATAAACAAAAAAAATGCATCTCACAGATAGACTTTCATTAAAATTGGCATTAAATTTGATTTAAATAAGACTTGAATAATTATTTGTTTATTTATAGTAATGTTTATGCCTCCTACTCAGCATATGTCGAATTCATTTAGCACAGTTCACTAGGATTAAGAATACCTTTAGGATGGCCTTAGTAGCCAAACCAAATATAACATTACTAGAACTTAACCCATTTCATTTATTATAGTTTAGGTCATATCTGTTTGAAAACAATTGTATTTAAAATGCTATGCACTTTCCAGTTCCAATTAAATTTCCTTTCATGTTTCTAGCACTTGGAGTACGCAACTAAAATTAGTAGCAGAGAGTGTCCAAAGAAGCAATAGAGCCATTCAAAATATTTTTCTGAGCAAGGTGAAGGACAAGTATATACCAGCCACTCTTCAGGTTTTTAAAATTAGGTCACTGCCAAAATGTTATATGGGTTGCAGGGATTGTGAACCTTTAAGGATTATCCAAGCAAAAAGTTTAAAAGCTATTTTCAGGTAATCTAGTATATATATCTAACACTTCCTGTAATTCAGGATAACCCTTACTAAAGTTTGTGCGTGAAATTGTCTCCTCAATTATTGGTTCAAATTAATAATTATATCTCGATCCCTCATATATGTGATTCTGCCAGATTGCTATCAGCCCTCTTGGGAAAAAATAAATTAAAAACTATCCATATCAATGTGGCTTTTCCACACACTTGTTGATTTCTTGGAGTTTGAAAGATGCAAGAAGTATTTCAAAACACTTGGGGAGTGGCTGTCCCTATTTAAGGGAGGCTTGGAGAAACTGTTTCCAGCCAACCTTCATTGATATCCTCTATAGAAGAGTGTTATCTCTAGCATGGTTTAATACTTTACCCTATGTGTTCTTGGAAGGAAAATACTTCCAAGAAAAAATGAAGGAATAGTTTAGGAAAGTACTCCTAAATCTGAATTTATTTGTTCTTATTAATCGGGAAAAATGACTCTGCGGGTCAGATACCTCTACAATCCTCTTTCTATAAAGATGTTTGGGGTAATCTCTGTTAATTAAAATGGACAGTAGAAAATATTTATCAGATGTATACAGAGGACAAGAAGATACTATCCAGTTTTATTCTGTTGTTCTCTTGATACAACATTTGTTTTGCTGACATCATTTTAGTAATATTAGGAAATAACTGAGTTTGATCTAGGATAAAGTATAAGCTAAATGTTTGTTGATCTATAAATGATAAATATTCATCTACTTGTGAGTCAATCATATTGAATGTAGACGTCTCTGATTTTTTTATACACTTCCACTGTAGCACAGGAGGAGGATGGACAAGGGCTGCACATTATACTGATTATAAGGAGCTCCAATTCTTCCTCCCCTAAGTTGGAGAAAACCTAATATCTAGACCTGTTGATGTTGGGTGGCAAGGTTCTTGGTCAAAGTCAATTCTGATTTTGGTGCTAGGTTTAGAAATGGGACTATAGATGTTTTGAGCATTAAAACTTTAGGGTGTTTTATAGCTGTAAAGTCAGGGTGAACGGGGAAATCTGCATTTGCATCCTGAGCAAACTGAAGTTTATTCAGTGTGCACTAATAGTCCACATTATAACTCCAAACTATGCTATGCAAAAGAATTCCATTGCACACTAGGGATAAAAAGGCATAGACATTTCTTATGCCATTGATTTGCTGCTCTGAAGGATCATCTGACTTTGAGCAGTGGGATGGTACTCGAAGAAGACTACAATTCAATTTTAGAAGACTACAACTATTATATGCAGTTATTTTTATTATTTAATATTTTTCTTATTTCCAGCACTTTAAAAGAAATTAAGAATTCATAAACAAAAGTATATGGGTTCCTGGTTCTAAGAACCTATGTCCATAATAAACAATAAAGGGAGAATAATGGGGTAAAGTTTAAGTTTAAGAGCTTACAGAAAGAAAATTATTCGGAAATAAGCAGCAAAAGGGTGATTAGAACGTTGATTTTGGAAAGTTATAAATGGATTGAGGGGCTAAATTGACTGGCAATAAGATTTTGAAATTAACTATAAGAATCCTTCCTGTGATTTGTTTAAAATTCTATTAAAAATATATGAAGACCTTGAATTTGTAAGAAATCTTTCCAGGGGAAAATGGTGTGGATGAGAGGAAAACATGATAAAAGAAGACCTTGAAGGCTGGTTATTAGAGGCAACTAGAAATAAAGATTACAATTAAAGAAGACCCACTAATACAGAATGGAGAGAAGTATTTTACTCTGGAAGATTTCAAGGATATTTGGCAACAATGTACTCAGAGCTTTCTCTTAAGATTGTCTGATACTATAAAAATGGGTTTTAAAGAGGAGACAGAAATGAATACAACTGAGAATCAGGTTGTTTTGGATATGGATTTTAAGATTATAGAATTAAAGAAGACCCACTAATACAGAATGGAGAGAAGTATTTTACTCTGGAAGATTTCAAGGATATTTGGCAACAATGTACTCAGAGCTTTCTCTTAAGATTGTCTGATACTATAAAAATGGGTTTTAAAGAGGAGACAGAAATGAATACAACTGAGAATCAGGTTGTTTTGGATATGGATTTTAAGATTATAGAATACAAGAATGATATTGACAAAGATGTTACACAAGACTTACAAATGAAACTGGCTGCTGTTTTAATAGCTAAAAGGGACATACAAATAATAAATCAAAAGAATGGACTTGGATGTGTAGATTTCAGCGCAGAAGAGTGACTTGGACAACTTTCTTACTTTGGACTTACAAAAGAGATGTGTTATACTTATGAAGGGGCTTCTGAGAAAAGATAAAGAGAGAATGAAAATAAATCAGCTTTGAGACGTTACTTCAAAGGAATAAAGAACAAGGCTTTTAAAACCAAAAAGAAGGATTATAAAGTCAGTTTGTTCGATCAAGGTTAAACTATATGATGTTTTTTCTTGTAGTTTTTAAAGGATCTTTCTTGACCACGACTAAATGGCAAAGAAATTATGGGGAGATTTTTTTGTTGTATGATTAGAGAAAGTGATGGGTTATGTTAAAATTGAAAGAAAGTGTTAAATTTGGGAAGAAATTGCTGAGAGGAGATGAAGAGAAAATGATAAGAAATTAATTTGTGGAATATTAATTGAAGGGTTTAAAGATTAAGATTTTCTGGTAGCTCTTAATGGAATTTTTTTTATTACATTTGAATGAGGTTTGATAGATTTGCTTATGATAAAATATGGAAGGAAGAGATTTTTTGTTGTATTTTTAGAGAAAATGATAAGTTACTGTGTAAAGGAAAGGAAATTCATTTACTTGTTTAATGTTATATTGTAACATTAAATATGTTATATTCTGGTAACTCTTAATGGACTTTTGCTGATTAAGATTGAATGATGAGGTTTTACTATTTACTAATAGATAGAAGATGAGATACGGGATGAAGAGATCTTTGGTTGAAATGTTAGAGAAGGTGATAAGGTGTACTTGTCTTGATGAAGAGGGAAGTCATTTCTTTATATTTTTTTCTCCCTCCTTTTTTTTTCTTCTTTTCCCTTTTCCCTTTATTCTTTTTATATTTTTCTTACGTTGTATTAGTTTTTTATCCCTGTACTTTTAAACTTTAATAAAAATTATTATTAAAAAATTCACTTGGAAATTTTCACCCAGCATAACATTTAGCACAAATATAAATCAAACTTTTTAAATATTTCCAGAGACTATTCTGGCTATTAAATTTTGCACCAGTTGATGGACTAGATACAAAAAGCAGCCCCATGTAGAATATGCATTGCTTCCTTAAAGTGGTTTTCTTCTTAAGAAGGGGTAAGGCTGCAGTTGGTAAAATGTGTTTCTGACTTTTGTCTCAGCCTGAGAGATCAGAGAGAGATCTGGATGCCATAGTGTTCTCAAACTGCATATTCATTTATTCTTGGTAGTATAATCCCATCTAGAATTGAAATCTATACCACTGCCCTAGATTATGACTCCCTCCAACAGATGAACAACCTATGGGTTTCATGAGCCCCTCAACACATCAGGTAGGAATATGAGTTAGTCCTTGACAACGAAAAACAGCAAACTACGAGTTTGAAGATGCAGTATTATGAAAAAACAACTTTTCCTCTACTACACATCTTGCAACAGCATAGGGCTTTATGCTGGTCCTTTATCAGATTCAAATGAAGTATTTATCTGGATATATTCTGGGTAACTCTCTGGTACAGTTCCAGTAATCAATTTGATACAGTAATCAAAAATGGGGCATTTTTGAAGAAGGCCAGTGAGGGCACTAGTAAATTATTGTGTTGATGTTAACTGTATGAGTGAATTCCCTATTTCAGGTATCATCCTGAAGAATGTAGAATATTATGTGAAATAATATCATAACTTTGAATAGTTCATCTATCTTTTGTCATGTTTGTCTAAACGATAACCAAATTAATTCTCTATTTTCAGTGTTTAAGAACACTTGTTGGACATACAGGTGGAGTCTGGTCTTCACAAATGAGGGACAATATAATCATCAGTGGATCTACAGACCGAACCCTCAAAGTATGGAATGCAGAGACTGGAGAGTGTATACATACATTATATGGGCATACCTCAACTGTGCGTTGTATGCATCTCCATGAAAAAAGGTAAGCATTTATCTTGCATAATTTCTTTTAATTGTAACAAACATACTCTGAAATTTAAATATTATATTTTATTTATCCTTTCTGTTGCATGGAAGTTTTATTGTATTTAATAGAAAAGTACTAGACTGCTTTTAAATATAGATAAACTATTGTGCATTACATATTTTATTGTTTCATTTTATGTACAAATTCAGAAAAATCAATAACAAAAAGTTTCAAAAGAAAAAGGATGAAAAAAAAGAGTACAAATAGATGTAATAGAATACTGCTTAATTTAATAATTAAATATGAAGGCTTTTCCTGCTGTTTTCCTTTATTTTACTGTAATATTTTACTGTAATATTTGTACTAAATGCTTTGCACATTTTCTTGCAAAGAAGGTAGACAGCTGTAGTTTCTAAGTAAAGATATTAAAATATAAATAAGATAGACCACAATACTGAAGCAGCTACTTTCAACTCATTATTAAAAGGAACGTGACACATGCAGGTAGTTTAAACCTGGGATCACAGTTGATATGATTATTTGTAATCAAGTGTTTCAATGAAGTAAAATAATGTGATATTAAATAGAAATAATATATAAAGATGTTTAGAGGACAACTTTAAGAGTCTTAGTCTGAATCTTTATATTTCAGTTTGCTGCTAACTTCCATATTTGCTGATGAAGACAGTTTATTTCTGAAATCCCAGAACTTATTGCAAATATATTTTGTATAGCAGAGGAAAGCAAACTTCATATCTTTTTCAACCTAAAAATCTGATTCTAAGATTTCAGTTAAATAGTTTTTATCATAAAACTACCTATTTATTATTATAGATAGGATTATCTATAAGTTGGGACAATTTAAATGTCTGCTTTAAACATACAACCCGCTTAGTCTGAACTAAATACTGTTAAAACAGCCACATAAATTTTTTATTTTTATTTTTCCGCTTCCTAGAGTTGTCAGTGGGTCTCGAGATGCCACCCTGAGAGTATGGGACATAGAAACAGGCCAGTGTTTACATGTTCTGATGGGTCATGTAGCTGCAGTCCGATGTGTACAGTATGATGGCAGGAGGGTTGTTAGTGGAGCTTATGATTTCATGGTCAAAGTTTGGGATCCAGAAACTGAAACCTGTCTACACACCTTGCAAGGGCATACTAATAGAGTCTATTCATTACAGGTAAGCATTTTGTACTTAGTGCAATAAACATCCTTCAGTATTCAAACAGAGTAGTTAATTGCTGCCTAATATTTGCTGAGCAGCCAGTATACTACTGGCAACTAATGAGATCAAATCATTTGCTCTATGCATTCTGTATTTTCCTTTTTCTTCCTTTCCATCTAATCTTTTATATTACATTATGGCATTAAAAAACAGAGCACAGCCATGCTGTCTGAGAATTATGAGAACTGCAGTCCAGAACATCTGGAATACATTAGCTGTTCTGACTAGATGTGCATATAGTTGAGATGAGTTTCTTAAATTTAGCTCAAAGAAATAGAATGCATATCTTTTAAAATTGAATAATATGATTTATGCTATTAATAGTAACCATTGAGAGTGTATAGGGAGTGTATATTATATATTACGGTATTGTCTTGTGTTAGAAAGATCAGTAAAGATTTTTTTCTAATAAGTTAATAATGAAGAATTGGGTAAAAGATTTTAGATGGAATCTGCAAGTTTTAAATACATCCTCTAAATTGAAAAAAATGATACTTTTAATTGAGTGAGTTATTAAATCTATTAATTTTAAAAACTGCTTATATTTTAACATGACCAAATATCTGTCTTTGTCATTATATATTTACAGTATTTCTTAGAGTGTCAGGAATATTTTTGTTACTACAGAAAAAAAAATACAAGAATCATGAAATAATGGCACTGGCATTTAAATAAGTGCAGTGCAAAACATAAATTAAAATTGTCTTCTTTTTTATACACATACTTAAACATATAGTTTCTTCTAAAAATGGAAAATATAAATATAGTCGCATTGATTAATTTGTTTCATTTAATCAAATTGAAACTTTTGAAACATTGAGATGAATTTTTAAACCCATTTAATAAAACAGATTATTGCTTATTTCTTTTATTGGATTCAGGTCTACTGCACGTGCTACAAAAAACAGAAAAGCAGAAAGATTATTTTAGCAGTGATTAATTTTTTGTTATTTTTCAACAGTATTGTGGATATTAAAGAACCTGATTCATAGCTCTTGAAGTCACATTCTTTTTTTTAACAATTAGACCTTTATCATAGCATGCTGTCTATATCCACTGATTTAGGCTTCACTGAAAGCCGGTTTAATAATAGAACACCAGCAACATTCTTAGATATGTTGTAGAGAGTCTTCTAATATCTTAGAGAATAATAAAATTATTGTTGTGTAAGCTTATTTGGACCACAGACCACACTATCAAGAGAATGGATAACTTCTGAGATAGGAATGTGTGTATATACCTGTCTGTATATATAAATGCATGCGCATATTCACACACCCAACTGTGGAACAGAATTTTGTAAAGAGTGAGATTGAGGGTAGTGAAATGTAGAACACGTAGTCAGTGACTGTAATATTGGCAATAGCTGTTTACAAAACAGTTATTAGATATGACTGACATTCTTATACTGATGAGCTAATTAACATGTACAAATCTGTACTGTCTAATCTATAAGAAATAGCTCTGAACTTCTGAATGAAGTATAGCTGGGGTGTTTTGGAGTGACATCTTGTTTTGTTTGTAGTTCCTTTGCTTAAGGCTGCCTACCTCAATATTAGGGATGGATTGTCCTAGGAGTAGAAGAGTTGCTATGCTCCTTTTTTTGCTACTGACATTTCTAATGCTAGATTTGAATCTGATTATTCTTTTGCACAGACACTGATCAGTTTGTAAGCAACCTCCATTAAGTTTTACATTGTACAAAGAATGTCATGTGTATCATTAGAAAATGAATGGGTGTGCAACTGCTGGCACAGGTAATATTATTAGATTCTAAACAATTATCAGATTCTGTTCTTTTACAAGATCAGATATAAGTACATCACATGATGACACTATATCTTGTGAAATTTGAAACATTATTCAATATTATGTCTGAAAGGATTTGATTAATAAAATAATCTTTTCATCTATAATACAAATTAGAATTTTTCTTCTTTTTTCCTTTTTTTTTTTTTGGTATGTTTTACAAGTGGTAAAGTGCTCATTTTAATTCAAGCTATAAAGAATACTTGCTATGGCTAGATGTTTTCCCAGTGGTAAATTGCTTGGTCCAATCTGTTACTTGTTTTAAATTGGCCTTATAAGAAAAAAAAGCAAGTAAAGGAACAAAAAGAAATGTGAAGTATGTTAGCAAGGCACTAGGCTGACACCAAAAGCTGGCAAGCCACCTCAGACACATTCACATAGAGATGCACATTCATTCATTCATATATGTCAGGGTTAGGCACTCATGGTCTACATGCAATGCACAGTTCCCATCCCCAACTCCCAGATACCCTCTTATCATACTATTGAAATAGTTAATTTTTGGTGCATGTCGCTGCCCTCCTTTTGGGAGGGGGGACTAAAAAGGTGTCACAAATCTCATTAGCTAGTAGAAAACGTTTTCAAGAGTAACTCCAAGATGAAGGAAGGTTGATAACATGCAGAGAGGAAAGGGATAATATGTCTTGTGCAATAAGAAAACTTTTTGAATTTCCTATTACCATCCCTGGAAGCTTCTTAAAAACAAGCTTTATTACTGTGTAAGGTACTTTGGTTGTAGAAGAATTAACATGTAAATCCAGCTTCTGGGAAGTACAAAAATCTTTTTAATTTGGTTTTACAGTATGTATGTGAATCTGTATATTTGCAAATGTACTTCTTAATTTTAAAAGATTTTTATGATGCAGTAGCAATCTTCAAATATTTAGACATTCATAAAACGTTACATTTCTTCCTAGCTGTATGTCATAATAAAGTTTAACATCTTATGTTTTGATTGATTGAGAGGATTGCGTCCAGACTGTCAGGCTTAAACTAAACCCATGCAAATTATTAGGGTATGCTAGTCATGACTAAATTTTCTTGATGATTTTAGTCAGACTACTAAAAGGCTGACAAAATGTGTATCTAAGGATTTTTTTCTCTGACAGAAAGAGGGAACTTTTGAGACAAACCTAAATAAAAGTGCACATTGTTAAAATTTCTCTATAGCCAATTATTTAAGGATATGGAATATTGACACATAAATACAATTTAGCAATTTAGTGAACAAGGTATATTTTTAAAACAAGGCCATTCCATCTGTTTGTCCATTAAGAATATAGAATATTTCTTATAGTTGTAACAAGTACAGGCAGAATGGTTTCAAAAATTATTTATGTTCATATTCTAACTATATAATGGAGAATTTTAAATTGTGTTGACCTTTATTTCGGTTTATCATTGTCAGCTTTAGTTAACTATAGTTGTGAATATAGTCTTTGTTTTGCAATTAGTAACACATATCTTGCTAGGTTTTTTTTTTTTTTAAAGAACAAATGCTTCTAGTTTGTATGCTTTTCGAAATCTAAATATGGCATAGGGAAGAAAGAAAATATACATTAATGTGTCCTGTATTGCACTATGCCTTTCAAATATAAATTTATAATTGAGCAGAAATGGTTTTGAGCCTATTAGTAGTAAATGTTAGAAAATGAATCTTGCATCATGTTTAAATCATATTAAACCTTGTGCAAAAATATATGAGAATGATTTTCATCATGATGACATTGTTCCAGGTTTCACCTTTTCCTTTAAATAATGGAGGTACATTAGCTCTGGATCATATTTAAGATGAAAAGGTATGGCATAGTCACAAAACTGACTTCTTGTTCCAAATGAGTAGGAAGTAGCTTCCTGAAGCGAAGTGTTTATCTATAGCAAGTAATTGATAATTCTGGTCAATTTGTGTTAGCATAAGTTCTGTTAATATGTATTAAACTTGGTAATATCAGACTATTCACAGATTTGTACCAACTTCCATTTTGATGAGATAAAACTGTGAATTGAATTGTACAACTATGAATAGTCACAAGCTTAAGACTTTGGTCAAATATAAATATATGTTGATATATGTAAACTTCTTTTCTCATAGTTTGATGGTATCCATGTGGTGAGTGGGTCTCTTGACACTTCAATCCGAGTTTGGGATGTGGAAACAGGAAATTGCATTCACACATTAACAGGTCACCAGTCATTAACAAGCGGAATGGAACTCAAAGACAACATTCTTGTCTCTGGGAATGCAGATTCCACTGTCAAAATCTGGGATATCAAAACAGGACAGTGTTTACAGACGTTACAAGGTAGGATTTTCACACCCTTATGTAAGTCACAAAGTGTTTTAGTACTAATTTCTGTATAGATAAATATGGCTATATATTATTGCATATTTATGATCCATATATAACAAAAAAAGACTGATTCACAGATAGTGTTTATGTGAATCTATGCTGTGTTTCTTTGCGCTGTTTCTGTTACAATATCTGACCATGCTCCAGATGGTCAGTGGTTTAGAAAGAAGTATTAAGTTTGCTTAAGGTGGTATTTCAATACTTCACTATTAAATCATCCATTGTGAGGTGGATATTGAGGTTTTGAGATTTTTTTTCCAAATAGTCAAAACAATTCAAGTATTCTGTGAGATGCTTTCAAAGCTTTTGTAAGGGCCTATGCTTCATGGAAGGAAACAATCTTATTGCTGTGATTTGGAAAGCAAAGTTAAAGAAATTGTGAATATTTATATGATAATTCTTTCCTAGGTCTGCCAACCTGAAGCTTGGCTATTTGTATGCCACTGAAACTGAATATTCATTAAAGTGTTTTAAGGAGATTTTGGAGAGCAGGGAAAAAACCCAGAAAAATTGTTGGCTTCTCAACTAAAACAACTGAAGTATAATATATCTACACTCAAGCATTCTATGAGAAAAATACTCTGGAGCAATGCATTTAAATTGTTTGAACTTTTATATTCACCCTCATAATTCAAATTTGCAACTACTGTAGGAACTGAAATTTTTGAAAATAAAACCTTTGATGGTTTTAGCGCACTTTTAATGCTGCAGGAAGAATTAAATACAATTAAATATATTCAGTTTGAGAAGATTCCCAACCAAATGGGTTTCCTATAGAATGGGTATCAAAACAAAAATAAACCCTGTACTGTTGAGGTATATAATGTTTTGGGGTTTGGGGGGATTGGAAAAGGATTCTTTTCCTTATTTTATTATAGGTATATGGCTTTTCCCCTTCATGGATCACTGCCTTGTCGTGGCGAAGGGGCTTGCGTAACTCAGTGAA